TTGGAGGCCCAGGCCTGTGGACAGACGGCGTGCCAGAGCGAAAGAGCGCTGCTGCCTTCTCAGCCACGGATACGGAACGGTCCAGTTTGAAGACGAAAAAACTCGTTACCGTGTCTCGGCTACGGAGAGATGAGACGATTGCCTGCTTTATAGATACCAATTTTTCTATCTGCTCCGCAGCTCGTGTCGTCTTCGTTGTCTGTTCTATCTCACATTGAATGACCATCTCCGCAAAAGCCAGTTGCTGCAGGGTGACGCCCAGGTTCCGGCCTTCCTTCCTCATCTGAAAAGCTTTTAAGAGTGTCGTCTTGAAGGCGGGGGCGCCCCACGGATCGTCGCTGCTCCGTCTCCACGTCTTGTTCTCCTTCATCTGGGTGCGCATCTTGTTGCGAGCGGGGAGGTGGTGGTCCGTTTGCTGCGACAGCTGCCATGTAATCTCTTTTTCAGCCCAAAACCAATGTTTCAGCTGCCATGTAATCTCTCCGCGGAATCCCTTTTTCAGCCCAAAACCAATGTTTCAGCCCAAAACCAATGTTTCGCCCAAAACCAATGTTTCAGCTGCGGAATCCCTTTTTCAGCCCAAAACCAATGTTTCAGCTGCCATGTAATCTCTCAGCGGATCGTCGTCATCATTCTGTTGCATTCCCCTATGACAGCTCGAATCCCGCACTCTGCTATGTGAGACCGCAACCCTTCCTCTGCTGTCCCCCCTGCCAGTTTCGCCGTTGCTTGCACCGCCGCGAAAAACGCGTCCTCTGTCGGGTACAGAGTTGCCTCGTTTGCCGCAGAGAACGCAAAGGCTTTGGCGACGGAACGCAACAGCTTGCCCTTCATTTTCTTCGCGAATGCGGCGCCCTCGTCCTTCGGTCCTTGCACGGCTCCGCCGCTTGCGTGCACTTTCGTTCGTGACGTTGCGATCGGTGAGAAACAGAAGACACAACACACAGGAGAGTGTTAACAACTCAGCACCTTGTTTTGAATACAGCACTTGCAAAATTGAAGATTCGGCTATCAGTTGTGCGTTTACAAAGACACTTCTCCGTGCGTAAAGGCGTGCACCGCGTGGGGGCACGGGATTATGTGATCGGAGTGGGAGGGGAGTCAGTGCGACGCAGGGTTTTTTACCTTTTTCGGCGGTGCTGACGTGCTGTACGATTTGTCTGTCACCGACACGCTCCTCGGTGTCGCTGCCATTGCGTGCCTGCCGTTCTCCTTCTCTGCGCAGTGTCCTCGAAGGAAATGGCGAACCACCTCTTTCCGAAGCGGCGCTCTGGTCTTCGCCGGTTCTCTCGCTGGCCGACTTGCCGTCGCTGTCGTCGTCCTCATCGGTGTCTTGTGATTGTCTGCGGGAAGAATCGTTGTCGTCTCCCTCGTTTCCTGGCTCCTCGTCCTCCGCACCATCTGACTTCTCTAGCGCGGAATGGTCGTGTTCCTCCTCTTCTTCCACTTGGGGTCCGCTGTGCCTGTCGTCAGACCCTCTAATATCGATTGTCTTCACTGTTCTATCGTCTTTGTAGGATATTCTCTTCTTTGTTCTGCGGTGCATAGTCGCGCTTCTATCATCCCGCGATTTTTTTTCCGGGGCCCTTGGCGGACGGTTCTCGGCGCCGCTTCCGCGCTTTCCCCGGACGGGGGTCGAGGGGGGCGACTCGTTACGTTCTTTCAGCGTTGAAATCTCCCGTGCACTCGAAGGGACTGTAACTTTCGATCCGGATTTGCGGCTGC